AGGGTTTTGAGGGAGGAACTCATCCGGTAGTTCATACGTCCAGTGATGCGCATTTTAAGAAAAAGTCTAAAGCACATTTCAACCGTCGTTGCCGACCATAGAGCACGCAGTTTGCTGGGTGTAGGGACAAGTACTTAGGTGTGATTTAGTTTATAATGATAACAGACTCGCTCAACATCAAGCACCCTCTCCCATTCTCTCCCACCGAACTAGGCGTCATGACAACAAGATCGGAGGCGTGAGAGGACAGAAGTAGGTGGCTCGGCGATAACCCGCGCCTAGGCGTTCTACCACAGCGTCATATGTGGTATTCTTTTATGAGTGCGCATCCCCAATGACGTCTGTGATGCTCTCATCTAGTGGTTCACTAAATCGACCGCGTGACGCATTTCAGGGACAAAAGTTCACTTTCCTCTGAATTGGAGAAGGTCGCAAGACGCAGGTACTTCCCTTGCCAACTGCTTTTCCGATATGACAGTTCGATCATCACTAGTAATGACGTCCAACGAGTGTCAACTGGAGTGTGCGCGCAACTCCTACTGCAATCTCTCCTCCTCCGTCCCTGTTTCGATAGCAATACAATTTCCAGACGATCGGAGGGGGGGGGCAGTGATCGACAAAACTAAGGGCTGAAAGTTAATTGCAGCCTGAATCTAAGTCCTGAGAAGGACCAAGTTATCCCGTCAGGTTGCAGCCTTCCATATCGCACCTCTTACCGCGTTGTGGTAGGCTGAAACGTGTCTGACTTATTATAATGAGGAATGTGCTCTGAAGATATGTTCGAGCTGAAATCCAAAACCTCGAGTGAGTAAAGTTATTGTCCCAGCGAGTGTCTACTTCTCCTCAGTGAGGAATGCGTTGATTTGCCATGAGGACGGATTCTCCCCTGTCGGTCACACTTCCTTTTCTCCTCCTACTCCCATGCACCAGTAGATCATCTGAGCCTGCCCACCAGCTGGCAATGGAACTGGGTGCAGTGGCTGATGTGGCGTGCTACAGTAATGCACGGCAGTAGCCGCTGATTCACACGGATGCGTACCATGAGCTAGGCTGATTTCGATTTGATCTCAGTTTATTTGGGTAGGGATGACTTATATAGCCATCTAAACAGGACACTAGAACAGGTGAATTTGCGTCGAACTTCAGGGAAAAGAGGGTTAAGTTTGTGATTAGGAGAGTTACTGTTGACTGTATAGTTATGGTTTAGAGTAGGGGTAGAGTTAAGATAATTGATGCGATTTAGGCTTAGCATAGGACTAATGTTAAGGATGGAAAAGGGGCATATTTAGCCCTCCGGGGAAAATGCCCAGGGTGGCCTTCCTTAATAAAGCGGGGCGTTAGTATTGCCACGTCCTGTTTAGGCGGCCATATAAGTAAGCTTTACCCACATTTGCACCACACCACGGTTTTTTATTACACAGGCATTTTTTTCACGTAGGCATGACAACGTCCCTAAGGCCAGCTTATTGTCTCCCTTGCGTTTAATCGTTACCTTGCGGAGACTCTGATGTTGAACCCTAACTTACCATGTCTCGGGTCCGTCATCTACAACGAGAAGGTCCTTCACACGCCCGCTACGAAATACACTTAATGTCAGACTGATTTAACAGCCGCAGTTAGGGTCTTGACCTAAAGTTTAAAACCAAGACTGCGCCTGATTCAATGCCCACAGTAAAACCGGCTATCCGCCTTTCTATTGAGGAGCAAGTGTATGTCTCTGGTGGAAAGTTGCGGCAGCGGGCATCACTGTCTTGACACCAACCGAAGGTTAATGAGTGTTAGCACATTTTGTCGAGACGCTGGTGAACGGGCTCTGCCTTTCCTTTGCAACCGAACACTTTCAGGCTAGTGACAAAACCATGAGTGTTATTGCTTTTTAAACGGAGAGAGTGCATGACGAGGGCTACAGTCATTAGGCGAAATCTAAGATAGCAGCATAAGACTAGAGGCACAAGAAGGGAAATGCATTGCGCGTAGAACTCTGAGACCGTAGTGAACCCTGGCAAGGCTGGAGCGTGGGCTGTCAGTACTAAGTCCTTGAGAAAAAGTAGATGTGACTGCTGCAACAAGAACTTTATTCGCCTGACGTTTCGAAATCCGCCGCGGTTCCTTCATCAGACACAATAGCAGAAACGGATAATTCATGCACAGGGAGTTGCGGTATTTATAGGATACAGTCGATATGCTACTGCACCCTTAGGACAATTAACGACTCCCCTATCGAGGATAATTGCTCGCTTGTGTGCTAATTGTTTGATGGTCGGCGTGCGGGCTGTAACCTGCTAATTTTTCGTCACACGTGATGTAAGTAGGCGTGATAATTGCTCGGTCATCTGGCCCCCTGGTGCCGACGTTAGACGACGCGGTGGTCTGTGTGTTCCCCCGAATGGCGACTTGCTTTGGCCACATTTAGCCTCAGTACCGCAGATGGATTGGGCAGGACTTTGGACTTGTCTATAGGCTAGGGGGAGCAGCAGTGACGGGCAAAGAAAAATAAGGATATGCCTGGTTCAGTTCTTCGCATATGCAAAGCGTCGGATATGTTATTCTCAGCAAAACCAATTCCACTACTCAAAGCAATAAAACCGGTTGCCGCCTTATATAACTTTTCGCTTGCTGCTATGAAGCAGGCTGCTGTTTCTGAACACGTTCAAAATCCTCAGAACCTTTAGTTCTGTCCGTCTAACACACATAAGGTTTCCATGGAAAGCAAAGTAAGCCTCTCCGAAGTACCAACATACTGTCATAAGTCCCTGCAGTAGCTTCTACTAGTCAAAGCGGCAGCAAACGCCTTCCGCCTACGCAACTGGCTTCTGTGTGCGCGAGGGGATTTTCTCCTGTTCCTACATATTGCCTCGCACCCCTTTGCACCCGTCCTTTACCATTACGAAATTTCGGATAATTGCCCTGGCCGGACGAGGACGCACGGAGGCCATATTTCAACTTTGAGAGGAAGCATGGTTGCCGAGTGACGAGTTGAAAGCCCTAGCTACTTTTACAACGCTCGGACTGTTCAAAACTTAGCGGACTTCATCAGAGCTTGCCACTTTTTCCGCCGCTTTTGTCTTAATGTGCTCCATAAGTGGCACTTATCAGCACGGCTAGGGAAAATGACAGAACAGAGGCTACACTAGTTGCACCGCCTCATGCTCCTAATTGCAAGCTGCACATCAACCCTACCACCGTGTCTACCTTGCAGACGTGTGAAATATGTGAACATTGTGCTCCCAATCCGTAGGAGCAACATTGTTGTGAACAGTAGTGTGCATTTTCGGGAATACAACATTCAGAATTATCGAAAATCTGTTAATTTTATGGGATAAAAGGAAGGCCTGATTCACCCAGCCGCCAGCAAATATTTAAACAAGAAATTCATTCTC